ATAAAATTCAATTATTGTGCTACATCCAAAGCGGTAGGTTTTTTCAAATATTGATGGACTTGATGGTAGATGGATAGTGATGTTTGAGAGAGTAAGCATGATGAAGTCCTGAGATTAGAGCCTCACAGTGGAGCAACTTAAAATCGCTCCCAAATGTGAATGTTTTATGAACTCAAAACAAATTAGTAACTTTCTATAGTGCATCATTGTAGTCTTCATGAAGGAAAAACTTTCTAAACTATCTGCTAAAAGTAGCACGTGTTGTAGGAGGAAAGGGCAAAGTACGTGATTGGGGCAGAAATTGTAATGCTTAACCTGTTCAGAATGACATGCAATCATTGGGGCAGGAAGTAGAGCCGCGCAGACGTGGACGTCCACGAGTTTATGGCTTCGATGCAGGACGTCAAAAACCATCGCGCGGTCGAGAGCTTTGAACAGTGTGAATCCCGTCTGCATGCGGATGGAGAGCGGCAACGACTCCAGAGAAAAATGAGGAGAGTGAGCAGCGCTTCCTCAGACAACTAGATGATGCAGAGCGCCACCAGCGAAGATATCGCAGCGAAGAAGTAGAGCAACACAGTGGCCATCTGATGGAAGTTGCGAGACGACAACGAAAGCGTCGTGCCACCGAAAGTATCGAAGATCGAAATGAGCGCCGCCTTACGAATCCAGTACGTCAGAGACGGAACCGTGAAGCCGAAAGCACCGAGAGTCGAAATGAACGACTGTTTGCGAATGCACAACGTCAGAGGTTACGTCGTCAAGATGAAAGCGCTGAAAGGCGTATTGAGCGTCGTCTTGAGAACGCGCAACGTCAGACGATGCGTCGTCAAAACGAAAGTGCTGATATCTGCGCTCAACGTCGTTTTGGAAACGCTGCGCGCCAGAGAAAGCGCCGTGAAAACGAGAATGATGAGGAAAGGGCAGTGTGCTTACGCGAGAACGCACAACGCTCACAAAGGCTGCGTCAGACTAAACCAGGAGAAAAACGAGTCAGACGCACGATAGCAGACGCACAGCGTCACCGAGTGCAACGTCGAAATGAAAACGTCGAACAGCACGCCGAACGAATGCATGCCATTGTTGAGCGAAACCACCAACGTCGTGCTGCCGAAACCTTGGAATAGCGCTCAGGGTTCCACTAGCGCAGGCAAACTATTTGGGTATTGACTGTCGCTGCGCGAATTGCGGTGCGCTGTATTTTGCATTTGAGATAAAGCAGTGCCACCCGCTTAATTTTAGTGATTGTTGCAATAATGGGCGATTTACCTTGGATTTATTCGATGACTTCCCAGAAGACAGCTGTATGAAGGCGGAGTCACAAACATTGTGGAAAGGCTGCGAAGTAAAATTTTTTTGGCTATTATAAGAAGCTTCAATTCAGCCTTGGCTATGGCTTCTATGGGTGCCCAAGTAGATGCACCGCGAGGAAGAGGGCCTATTGCTACCGAATACATGGCCAAGTATACCATAGAATTGGCCCTCTTCATCCGAATCGAGAAGAAGAAAGGCAGTTCGGTCAGAATTATGTTCTTGGCACAGGAATAGCAGCTCAGCAGCGACTTGGGCATACACAAACATCGAGAGTCAACCGTCATCAGGATATATTTCGACGACAACAGGGAGAGAGGGCCGTCG